CATTGTGAGTGCACAATCCCTCTCACATCATAAAAACAAAGGATCATTGTTTTCACATTTGACTTCACTTGTGCTTTTTTGGGTCATGGGCAAATGGCAGTTTTCCACTGGCTAGAATCCTGTTTTGTTTTGAAGTTGTAACCGTAGCACCAAGATTCATCTCCACTTATGACTCTGGGGGAAAAAAATCAAGTTCAGCCTCCAACTGCTCCCTCAAAGCAGGCCCGCAACCAAGTGCTTGTCTGTCTGTTCAGGCGTGAGCAAGCCAGGCACAAATTTTGCTGAAAGTTGTTTCATGCCAAAATTTTCGGACAAAATTCACTGACAGGAACTCTATGACTGCAGTCAACTCTACAAGTTCAGTAGTCCCACAGTATTGCTTGGGAAATTTTTACCACATTTTCTTCAGTGCAGCCAATCAAAGGACACCCGGAATGAGGTTGATCATCAGTCGACATTTTACCTCGTTTAAAATGGGGAAAACAGCGGGGCTCGGTGGCTCAGCCTGTAATCCCAGCACTTTGGGAGGCCGAGGTGAGCGGATTGCCTGAGCCTGCGGGTTCGAGACCCGCCTGGGCAACTTGGCAAGACCTCATCTCTACAATAAATCAAAAAATCAGCTGGGCATGGTAGCGCACGCCTGTAATTCCGGCTCCTCGGAAAGCTGAGGCGGAAGGATCGCCGGAGCCCAGCAGGCGAGGCTGCAGTGGCCGGGAGCAACCACTGCACTCCAGTCTGGGCGACAGAGTGAGACTCCAACTCAAAAAAAAAAAAAAAAAAATGGGGAAAACATTCGTGAACTTGTGTTTTATTCAGAGCAGCATCTTTGTAAGCTGACTGGAGCATAACAACTGTTTCTGCTGCATTTTTCCGCAACAGAAAACAAAATTTCACTGCCACACATCATGTAAATCCCCCATCATAAAATGGGCAAATGTGTTGGAAAAAATTCACTGACGCTGAACACAGCCTCTCAGAACAACGCTAACAAGTACACTGATGTCAATGGGTTGCTAAAACACTTACCTAGTGGGGGAAGCCTGTGCTATAAAGAGACCCGCCCTCCAAAAGATAATTTCGTTGTTGGGGAGATCCCCCCTCATATTGAGTCCATCACCCAGGGGCATGGTACCCAGTGGGTAGTTTTTCAGCTTTTACCCCCCTCCCTCCCTCTCCCCTTCAGGTGTTCCCAGTGTCTGGTGTTCCTATCCTTATACTCACATATATTCAATGTTTAGCTCCTACCAAATGAGAACATGTGGTATTCAGTTTTCTGTTTCTGTGATAACTTACTTAGGATGATGGCCTCCAACTACATCCATGTTGCTTGCTGTAAAGAACTTGATTTTGTTATTTTTTATGGCTGCAAAGTACTCCATGGTGTGTGTGTACCACATGTTTTTCATCCAGCCCACCATTGTTGGTCATCTAGATTGGGTCCATGTTTTTGCTAGTGTGGATAGCTCTGTGGTAAACATACAAGTGCAGGTGTCTTTGGTAGAGTGATTTATCCCAGTAGTGGGATTGCGGGGTCGAATGGTAAATCTATTTTTAATTTTTTGAGAAGTCTCTAAACTGCTTTCCACGGGGGTTGAGCTAATTTACATTCTCACCAACAATGTATGAGTGTTCCCATTTCTCCACAACCTCACCAACATCTCTGGTTTTTTGACTTTTTAATAAAAACCATTATGACTGGTGTGAGATGGTATCTTACTGTGGTTTTTTGCATTTCTTGGATGATTAGTGATGTTAAACATTTTTTTTCCATGTTTGTTGGCTGTTTGCATGTATTCCTTTGAGAAATGTGTGTTCATGTCTTTTTTTTTTGAGTATGAGTCTCACTCTGTCACCCAGACTGGAGTGCAATGGCATATTCACAGCCACCACAGCCTCAACCTGCTGGGCTCAGGCGATCCTTCCATCTCAGCCTTCCAAGTAGCTGGGACCACAGACACACACCACCATGCCCAGCCAATTTTTTTATTTATTGTAGAGACGAGATCTCGCCAAGTTACCTGGCCTGGTCTTGGCCACTTTTTAATGGAGTTATCAGTTTTTTTCTGTCAACTCACTTGAGTTCTTTGTAGATTCTGGATATTAGTCCTTGGTCAGATACACAATTTGCAAATATTTTCTCCTATACTTTAGGATGTCTGTTAACTCAGTTGATGGTTTCTTTTGCTGTTCAGAAGCTCTTTAGCTTGATTAGGTCCCACTTGTCAATTTTGGTTTTTGCTGCTTTTGCTTTTGAAGTCTTGGTCATGAATTCATTGCACAGGTCAATGTCCAGAAGAGTGTTTCCTAGGCTTTCTTCTAAAATTTGTATAGTTTGAGGCCTTACATTAAAGTCGTTAATCCATTTTGAGTTAATTTTTGTATATGGTGAGAAAAAGGGGTCTAGCTTCATTCTTTTGCATATTGTTAGCCAGTTTTCCCAGCAACATTTATTAAATAGGATATCTTTTCTCCAGTGTTTGTTTTTGCCACCTTTGTCAAAGATAAGATGTTGTAGGACAGTGGTTTTATTTCTGGGTTCTTAATTTTGTTTCATTGGCCAATGTGTCTATTTTTGTACCAGTATTGTGCTGTTTTGGATAGTGTAGCCATGTAGTAAAGTTTGAAGTCTGGCAATGTGATGCCTCCAGCTTTGTTCTTTTGGTTTAGGATTCCTTTGGTTTTTTGGATTGTTTTTTAATTCCATATGAATTTAAGTATTGTTTTTTCTAGATTTGTGAAAAATAATGCTGGTAGTTTGATAGGGATTGAGTTAAATCTGTAGATTACCTTAGGCAGTATGGGCATTTTTACAATACTGATTCTTCCAATCCATGAGCATGTTTTTCCATTTGTTTGTGTCAGCTTTGATTTCTTTCAGCAGTGTTTTGTAGTTCTTATTGTAGAGATATTTTACCTCATTAACTAGATGTATTTTGAGGCATTATATTTTATTTATGTTATTTCATTGTGGCTATTGTAAATGAAATTGTGTTATTGGTTTGGTTCTCACTGGCGTATAGCAATTCAACTGATTTTTGAGCATTGATTTTGTAACCCATGAGTCTTTTCATGGAATCCTGAGGGTTTTCTAGTGATAGAATTATATCATCTGCATAGAGAGATAATTTAACTTCCTCTTTTCCTTTTTGGATACATTTTATTTTTTTGTCTTGTATGATCACTCTGGTTGGGACTTCCAGGAGTAGTAATTATAATAGGAGTAGTAATCATAATCCTTGAGCTAGTATGCACAGTCATCACTGGTACATGAATGGTCATCTTTTATTTATTGGTTTACTAATATATACATTTTTTATTTAATAATAAAAATCCTGGGACCTACAATCAAACAAGAACCAGAATCTTCTTTTTTTTTTTTTTTTGAGTCGGAGTCTCATTTTGTCATCCAGGCTGGAGTGCAATGGCATGGTCATGGTTCACCACAGCCTCCACCTCCTTGGGCTCAAGTGATCTACCTCAGCCTCCTCAGGCTTGTGCCACCATGCCCAGCTTATTTTTTTTATTTTTGATAGAGATGAGATCTCACTATGTGTCCTAGGCTGGAAGAACCAGTCTTGGTAATATCTTATCGCTACCTAATTACCATTCCCATCACATTCCCCTACTTAGAGGTAGCTCTGATCTAGAATTTTGTTTTTTATTTCTGCATTTTAGAGTTTTACCAAGAATATATATGTATGCCTAAGGAATACGTTGTTTAATTGTTTATTTTTGAACTTGGTAGAAAAGAGATCATGATGTATGTGCTTTTCTGGGGCCTTTTTGTTTTCATACAGTTTTGTGTTACTGAGGCTCATCCATGTTGCTGGCTGTATAGTTCACTCATTTTTATTGCTGTGAGTGTAATACTCCTTGTGTGACTGTACCACCATGAATTTATCTCTTCTTTTGATGATTGGCCTCTCACTATTATGAATGGGGGTTACTGTAAACATTCTTGTTCATGTCCTGGTGGTGAGCGTGGTAAGAGCTTGGCATATACTCAGGAGTGAAATTTCTGTGTCGTAGGATATGTGAGTGTTCAACTTTACAGGGGAATGCCACATTGTTCTCTAAAGCTGTATCAAATGATGCTCCCACCAGCAACATTGAAATTCTTTCAATTCCTATCTTTTATAGCAATTAATAAAGTCAGATTTCTTGATTTTTGCTGGTAAGTGGTTAAAAATTGGTATCTCAGTGAGATCTTGATTTGCAGCTCCGTGATTACTTATATGGTTGAGTATCTCTTCATATGTTTATTGACCATATTTGTTTCCTGTTCTGTGAAATTGCTATTTGTTCAGCTTCTTTTTTTCTCTCATGTTCTTACTGATTAATAGGAGTTCTTTGTATATTTTATATTAAACTAACCCTTGTGTTAGATATATGTTATAAATGTCTCCTTCCAGCATGTAAATTGTCTTTTATTTGCTTTAAGGTATCTTTTTAAAACAGAAGTTTCTAATGTTAATGTAGTCACATTGATTAGATTTTTCCCTTTATAGTTAATGCATTTTGTGTCCTGTTTAAAAAATTTGTTTTCCCCTTCCCTGAAGTATCAGCTGTTTGCAGGAATGATGGATAAAAAAAGCAAGAGAGATAATGAATAATTTGAATCCACAATCAATTTAAGAACTCCATTCCAGGCTATAGTTTGTACTTCCTGTCTCACTAAACCTTTCAGTATCATAAAGGTGCCAGATGGCTCAGATGTCATCTTCCTTCTTTTCATTTCCCTGACTGTCTCTAATGGAAGTGGTAATGAACCATGAAATAGCCAAGTGCTGAGGGCCTGGTTACTGGCAGGGAGGTGATATAGTACCGTGATTGTCAAAAGTTAATTCTTAATGTGATTGAAAAGTGAGAGTGGGAAGATAGACTGAAAGTACAAATATGAATCCAAATACCTTCCTTTGTCTGTGCCTTTCCATAGAGAGTAGTCCCATAGCTTGAAGTCAACTGACTTAACATCGTCTTCTGTTATTTTGTTTGTTTAGGCTTATTTATAAAGCTGGATCCTGATAAAAGTCTGACGTAAAAGAGCTGCTGCAGAATTCCACACCCTTCTGCATAAGACTCTCCCTCCTTCAAAAGAAGCAGTTGTCCCCGCTCCTCTGCTCACCCACTGCCAAACTCCCATGTGGAGAAGCCTGCCGACACTGACCTTCCTAAACAGTCTTCTGAAGACAATCCTCTTCTGAGGAGCTCAGTTTCTGCCTTCTAAACTGTTTAACACAGAAACACTCCCTATGAGTGTATTAGCAATTCTTTGTGTCTCCTTGGGATACGTGTCCGGTTCTCCTAAGATGGGCTTTTTTAAGTTGCACAAGCATGACATCCTCCCACTGCAGACTGGAGAAAAAAATTTATATTGAAACTTTTGCTGCAAACTTGGAAATGCTAGAAAACCAAGCAGAAAGGAATAAATATGGGGTAGGGGCTGCACATACGTGTGCCTATGCACACACATTGTAAAATTACAAAACTAGCTTCGTTTATCAGAACAAACCTTTTTGGCTAAAATAGGAAGCACAACTAGGTTCTACAGGAGTGAATGCCTCAGATCTGTTGTCTGGGATTCTGGAGATTAAACCATGTACCATTTTACCAGACTGTGCCATTGTATCTTACCAACAGCGTAGTTTACCATCACTGGAAGGAGCTTGTGTCAGTTTCCTAGGGCTGCTGGAACAAAATACCACACACTGGGTGGTTTAAACCAATACAAACTCATTGTCTCACAGTTCTGGGGGCCAGAAGTTCAAAATCAAGGTATCCCCAAAGCCATTTTCCCTCTAGGGTGCTAGGGAAGGAGTGGTCCATGCCTGTCTCCTAGCTTCTGGTAGCCCCAGTGTTCCTTGCCTTGTAGATGCACCATTCCAATCCTCCATCTTCACACAGCATTCCCTCTACGTGTCCTCACATCATCTTCTCTCTGTTTATATCTGTCTTTGTGTACAAATTTCCCCTTTGTAATAAGAATAGCAGTCAGCTGGGCTCGGTGGCTCAGCCTGTAATCCTGCGCTTTGGGAGGCTGAGGTGAGTGGATTGCCTGAGCCCACAGGTTTGAGACCCACCTGGGCAACTTGGCAAGACCTCATCTCTACAATAAATCCAACAAAAAAAATTAGCCGGGTGTGGTAGCACACACCTGTAGTTCCAGCTACTTGGGAGGCTGAGGCGGAAGGATCACCGGAGCCCAGCAGGTCAAGGCTGGGTAACAGAGTGAGACTCCAACTCAAAAAAAGAACAGCAGTCATATTGGTAGGGCCCACCTGAATGACCTCATTTTAATTTGATTACCTCTGTAAAGACTGTAAAAATTTATTTCCATTTGAGGTCGCATCATGAGGTACTGGAGATTAGGACTTCAGCTTACTTTGCAGGGGGGATATGCTGATTTAACCCATATAAGAGCCTCAGGCAGGACTAGAAATGACTGGGAAGACTAATGTTTTGAAAACATATTCTGCTTCCTAATGCAGGCAGTTGATTGAGCTTCAATTTCTTGCCTTTCTTTCCCCTTATTGGAAGTTTAAGCTGACTCAACTAAAGTCACCATTTTGAAGGTCAAAATGGTCAGATATTGGCACTTGCCTATGTTTCCATCTCATAGCTTAGGGATAGCCTTGTGGTATCCTACCCAATCATCCTTTCATAGCCAAAGATCGGCTGGAGCCCTGCACTGCCAGACCCAACAGACCCTGGGATGGGCCAAGCCAGAGGAAGACCCCAGACCTGGAAGCTCTCCCTCTAGTGCCCACCTGCAGTTCCCAAGCTTGAAGAAAGGGCCCAGCTGATGAGGATGGTGAGGCTGGCAGTTCCTTCTCCCTGGAAACCCCAATAGAGCTTGGGCAAGTGCCCTAGAGGTACCTGGGCTCACAGCTCTGCAATGTCCACATCTGTCAGCAACCACTGTTTATTCCCAGTATTCCTTCCACCTAATCCTGAAACTCCAGAAACAGTGGGTTCTCACCAGAGACACAGTGAGATACGAGTGTAGCTCAAATGTTAGAAAACGCAAAGCTAGGCCAGACACAGTGGCTCATGCCCGTAATCCCAGCACTTTGGGAGGCCGAGGTGAGGGGATTGCCTGAGCCTGGGGGTTCGAGACCAGCCTGGGCAACTTGGCTGGACCTCATATCTACAATAAAATCTTTTAAAAACATTAGTCGGGCATGGTGGTACATGCCTGTAGTTCCAGCTATTTGGAAGGCTGAGGCGGAAGGATCACCTGAGCCCAGCAGGTCAAGGCTGCGTTGACTGAGAGTGTGCCACTGCCCTCCAGCCTGGGCAACAAAGTGAGACTCCAACTCAAAAAAAAAAAAAAAAAGAAAGAAAATATGAAGCTGAAGGGATGAGCCAGCACTGCTGTCTACTTTCCCTTAACTAGAAGGAAGGAAGTTTAAGCAGTGAAGATACTTGAATCTTGTCACTCGGTTTATCTGACAGGCTTGCAGAACTTCTCTTGCACACCACACCTCCACCCAAGGCAAAGAACCTAACTGGAAGAATTCCAAATGACCCTCTTTCCTTCTTCCTATTAAGTAAGCCCTAAGCCGGGCTCGGTGGCTCAGCCTGTAATCCCACGCCTTTGGGAGGCTGAGGTGAGTGGATTGCCTGAGCCCGCGGGGTTCGAGACCCGCCTGGGCAGCAAGACCTCATCTCTACAATAAATCAAAAAATCAGCTGGGCATTGTAGTGCATGCCTGTAATTCCAGCTACTTGAAAGGCTGAGGCGGAAGGATCACCAGAGCCCAGCAGGTCGAGGCTGCGGTGGCCGGGAACGGCCACTGCACTCCAGTCTGGGCAACAGAGTGAGACTCCAACTCAAAAAAAAAAAAAAAAATCCCCTATTAAGTAAGCCCGCCTCCCTATCCATCCACTTTTTCTTCCTTTCTGTCGATATTCACAGTTTCTGTTCTCACGCTGATCTGAGCATGTCCAGGCTACATGGCATCATAGGAATGAGACACTGCACAAGATGATCTCAAGGAAAAGCTTAGCCACAGTCAACACAGGGCGTCCCTGTAGCCCTATAGCCAGTGAGGGAAAAACGACTTTCCTGCTTTGCAGAAAGCTACTCATAGGCTTCACCAAGCTGTGGTATTCTTGCCTCCACCAGTTTGTATTTTGACAAATATGTAAGATGGCAAAAGGTGACTGAACAGTTAGAAAGAAGGTGGGAGCTGCCATCAGAATCAGTGCCTGCTCCGCTCCATCACTGGCTTGAGCAGTGTGACCCAAGGGAACTGTTCCTCTTGCCTGTTTATCCCTCTTTACACGGGTGGCAACATCTTGAATGAAGATTAAGAATTGATGCTCGGGCCAGGTGTGGTGGCTCAAGCCTGTAATTCCAGCACTTTGGGAGGCCGAGGCGAGAGGACTACCTGAGCCCGCTGGTTCGAAATCAGCCTGGGCAACTTGGTGAGACCTCATCTCTACAATAAATAAAAAAATTAGCCAGTCATGGTGGCACATGCCTGTAGTTTCGACTACTTGGTAGGCTGAGGCGGAAGGATCACCTGAGCCCAGCAGGTCGAGGCTGCAGTAGCCGGGAACATGCCACTGCACTCCATCCTGGGTGACTGCACTCCATCCTGGGTGACAGAATGAGACTCCAACTCAAAAAAAAAAAAAAAAAAATCATTTTTTCTCTAATGGGAAGGTGAAATATAAATATAAGGAAGTGAAGAAAAACTTTTTGTTCTGTATTAAGGAAGCTTATGTCACCCATGTTCCTACGTTCACCCCATTACCTTCTTGGAATTCTTGACCTTCCCTCCTGGCGGGTTATGAAGCCAAATTATTGTTCTTACCTAATAGTTGGCCAACATGGAACCCTAGACAAACATTTTTCTGTGCCAGGTATACAACATTCTCTAGTGGACACAAGGCAATGTCTTTCGAATTTAAGTCACTGAAAATAAGTCATGGATTTTATGTCTCAGAAAGGTTGAAAGTTTTGTTTGATAGTACTCTTGGTCTGGCCCTCCTATGACCAATTTAAATTACAGAATTGGTTTATTTCTCATGCAGATTTTAAATGAAGTGGGCTACAGACAAAAACACCACAAGAGAAAGAAAAAGGATGAAACTACAACAAATATCACTTATGAATATATAGAGAGGGTGCCCAAAAAAGCATACACATTTTAAGAAAGGAAAAAACTATGAAACTTGTAAGTCAATATATTTCGATAACAAAAGAGGAATACAGGTCAGGTTTTGTTAGGCCACACTCCCAGTGGTGGCCTCCATAATGTTAGGTCAGGCCCACTGAGGGTGTGGGTGACTGGTGTGCAATCTGGTGCTGCAAGAAAGATGCAAAGAATTGCACGGAAGTTAGATTGAAAAATATAGTTTATTTAGAAAGCAAATTAGAAAGATAGAGAGGAGATTCACCTCTCCGAGGTAGGAGAGGAGACCAAAGTTTAGAAAACCTGGCAGTAGCCATAGCTCAAAGAGCACATGGCCACACCAGAGTTTAGTAAAGCAGTGGCCACTGGCTACTCATGGTTGAGTCTTTTTAATCCTTCTCTTTTTTTTTTTTTTTTTTTTTTTGAGTTGGAGTCTCACTCTGTCACCCAGACTGGAGTGCAGTGACCGCTCCCAGTCACCGCAGCCTCGACCTGCTGGGCTCCGGTGATCCTTCTGCCTCAGCCTTCCGAGTAGCCAGAATTACAGGCACGCGCTACCATGCCCGGCTGATATTTTTTTTTTTTTTGTAGAGATGAGGTCTCGCCAAGTTGTCCAGGCGGGTCTCGAACCCGCGGGCTCAGGCAGTCCACTCACCTCAGCCTCCCAAAGCCGTGGGATTACAGGCTGAGCCACCAAGCCGGCTAATCCTTTTCTTTGATGGGGGAGGGTCGTTAAGGTGATTGAGTGGTGGTCTGTCCACATCATCACGAAGGGGCAGGTGAGCGCAGGCACTGATGTCAGGAGATGGACCGAAGACAGATGGGTAGGTTAGTCACAATTGCTGCTGTGGTGGTAGGGTCTGTCACAAAGACCGCAAAAGGCTGATTTTAGGTTAACTTGGGTCTTATGGGTGGAGGCAAATGCATGAAATAGAAAAGTTAATTAATACAAAACAAGTTGGAGAGGGGATTGTAAAGCAGTTATCAATAGCTACCTCTGAAAAACCGGTTCTGACCTTGACTAGTGATTAGTGGGTGAATTAAGTGAACTGCTAGAAAAACATGAGATTTAGGCAATATTAAAATGGCTGCTCATTGGGTATATTAAATCCATGTTATGTCCTTTCA